ATTCGTAACTTTGCTGTATTAAAAGTTGTTTTAAAAATTTTGAAATAAATTTTCAAAATCCAAACTGAACTTTTTTTTCATGATATTGGGTTTCGTATACCACAATATTGGATTACCTGTGGTACGCGCGGGATACCCGCGGGATCGAACGCAGAGGGCTAAACAAAGATGGCGGAYATTTGTTTGACATAGAAACACACATTAAAATTTCTATTTTCGCGTAMCAAGATTTTTATCCATACAATGGAGCCTTCCAGAAGTACATCTCCAGCAGTACACATGGTTACTGAAGGTGAAAAGCTGCCAAATATTCGTATCCTTTACAGAGAATTCTATTCGTGCCGGTTGCCAAGACTACAATGGCTACGCAATAAAGACACTTAAAACTAATTATTTATATTATTGCTTTATATAGATTTAATTTTTAGCTTTTAAAATGAATTCAACGCCTTTAGGTAAGGAATATTATATTAATTTCTTAGAAAACAGCTACTGAAAGCACTATTTTTGGATTAAAATGCTGGCTAGATAAAAATAAAAATAACGAAGATATCTGAATAAGCTTACCTTAAGTAGTGATAACATTATTTAATATAGACTTTACCTTAAGTTACTAACAGCTGTTCAAAGAATTCGTCTTCGGATTTATTTCGTAGTTCTTAAAATTTGGAATAAGCTCAAGCTTGACTTGACTTTAAACTGCCTTACTTTAAATGGAATTTAAGCTTATATAATTTTTGTGTGTTTTAAGATTTTATTATTCCTTTTTCCTTTTATCATTGGGTCGGGGCGGTTTTTGGTTTTGGCATCAATCCCCTGTGTGCAGTGGTGGGGGGGGGGGGAGTGTCCTGATATAATGGCGTGTACCATTCAGACCTTAACATCAAGCAGTTGACCGCAGTTCGTCATTTCATCAAGGTGGAACCGTGAATGATATCACATGGCATATAAGCCAGTTAGACATGTCACTCCATGACACCAACCCACAGAATCAACTAGTGGTTGATAAATACCTCAAGGAATGCGGCGTACAATATGAAGATGATGAAGAAGATTTTGGTTATGGTAGATTGGTGATTGATTATAAACCACCTAAACCTGTCACCAAGGCTGTCACAGACAAAGGTAAGTGAATGCTGGTTCATTATTCAAAGGAGGGAACATTTTTAAAAAGCACTGTCTTCATAAATAAATTTATATATAGGAATATTATTGCATTTTTACATTGCACTAATTGTGCCCCTCTCCCCAACCCCCTTGTCCATCCTGCCCCACCCCATCTCCCTTGTCCGTCATAATCTCTTGCCTTCACTCTCTCACATAAGTTATATTTTCTAAATCTTCACAGAACAAGAGGTCAAAGAAGTTAAACAATTTGCAGGGATGTATTCTGTATGGACAGGTAAAACAGCAAAATTGAAAATCCTTAGTTTTATAAGGATTTCCAATGGAATGGAGGATTTTAACCTCCCATTGGATTAGGAAGTTATCTCAGATTCTTGTGAAAAGACTTCAGCATGACTCCCCTTTTTTGCCCCCTCCCCCACCCCACCCCCCAAAAGAAAATCCATCACCTTTCCCTCCCTGGTAAAACTTGAATAATCTGCTTAGTCGTCTTTGATGTTTTAGCACTACAGCCAACAAGTCACAACCCTTTTGAAAAGAATATACTTAAATGGAAGACAAATACAAGTAAGAAGGTGAGAGGCTATTTACATTATAGGACGAATATAAATGTTTAAATTGAACCACAGCTAGRCTCCAGAGCTGAGAGATGTGTGCAGTACTGTTACTCCACCCTTGATTCCCACAATTCTTAAGAACCTTATCAAATTACAAATTGAGAGATTTATTTTTATGGTTGAATTTTATAAYGAAATTAATTTTGTTAACTTCAACAGAAGGCTGAGAAAAGTAAAGGAATGAAGCCAATGCTAGTGGAGGTAAGGTATTACTCACAGAGTATGAAATTTAAACTTTTAAACCCACTAGCAAAACCTTGCTAGTAAGGTTTATACTCATTAGCAAAATTTCAAAATCAATAGCAATTGGACGCAGGAATGACAAGCTTCACTTGATGTGGGTTCTCAACTTTTCAGTCCTTCAATTTCTGGACTGTGGTCATACTTACAAAACTTAGCTAGTAAAATTTTTTGGACACGCTGAAATACCAAATCTCACCCTCATTTTGTGAGTTTGTGAGCATTCATTTCATGCCCTGACTTAGGATAATTTATTCTCTGACTTTTCTCAAAACATACATATCACCTTGTTTAAAGGCATGCTCTGATTGGCTGAAAAACTGTGCTCACACAGGGATTGAAGAACAGTGCTCATGTCATTAACATGAATACCATCTTTACAAAGTAGTACAGGAAAGCATAATAATAAAATGCCACATATATAATTAAAACAAAAAGAACGTTTTTTGTGCATTTATCAGGACCTTGTTATTGAAGCCTTGCTCTCTGAAAAGTCYTTGCCAGATATTTGCATACTGTATATTTTTCTTGGTGAATCTTAACTCAGGAAGTAAAAAGAAGCACTCCAGAAGTGTGAGAAGGCTTTATACTTTAAATCATTGTTTTGCCAATTCCTGTATTGCTGAATGGAGCACAGAAAAAGTTTTAAGTTCTGGTTTTAACTCTTAATTCAAAATAATATATTTAWWATAATTTATTTGCATTGATTACAGCTTCATGTGTTTCCTGGATATGAGGAACATGAGTTAACGCCACTGCCGCCACCGCTAGTGGTTAAAGGAGTACTGGAAAAAGTAGTAAATGGACAGACAGATTTAAAAAGAAAGGTATTGCATGAAATAGCTCATCTTAACATTATCTACAGTACATGTACACCACCATCATCACCATCGTTATTACCACCATCATCATCATCACCACCACCATCATCATTATCAACACCATCATCATCATCAACACCATTATCATCATCATTAACACCATCGTCATCATCACCAATGATGATGATCATCATCATCATCAACACCACCACCACCACCACCATCATCATCATCACCATCATCATCACCATCACCATCGCCATCATCACCATCATCATCACCATCACCATCACCATCATCATCATCAACACCATTACAATAATTTTCACAGACTGTTTATTATCCTTTCCAATTTCATTTCAGCCCAGGTTCAAAAAGTATCTAGTTTCAATGTTGATGTCCAAGATGTCTGAAGCTGTGACACAGGTAACCCAAACATTATCTAAGCCATTATTTCTATATGTTTTGTAACAAGTTTATGATTTTTAACATAAATTCTATTTTAGGACATCTTCTGGTGGTATTTCCTGGACAAATATCAGGTAGATATCTATAATTATTAATCCAATGCCCCTATCTTACCAGCTAAAATACATATTTAAATGAT